TGAGGTCTTACATGAAGACACACACCACAACACAAGAGGTATTAGTGCCATAAAACAAGAGTTATTAGTGCCACTTCATGAGGTCTTACATGAAGTAGTAACCTGTGTTTTGGTTTTTCTTTAAATTTCACGAATCAACGAGCCCTCGGTTGAAATAGCCAGCGGTTTCGTGTAACCCAGACCCTGCGCTGTTTACGAGAGACGCCTGGTGAAAAGAACCTCGAAAAAATGATAATGGAAAGTACAAATATTGAACTGATAAAAGAAGAGATCGAAGCCCTAAAAGCAATATTCTGTGAGGAAGGAGAGTTTTCTATTAACTCAAATGTTATAGGAGGTATATTTTCCGAGAGCGATAGATTAAGCATCAGTCTCGATCTCCAAGTCAAGTGTTCAACATGTTCATCAGCCAAAAACCGGGAGACATGCAAGATAAAAATGACTGTTGCTTTATCTAAGGATTATCCTGGTGTACTGCCCTCTATTTCTCTTTCTTCTTACCACTTCAACAAGAAGGAAGTTGCTTTATTCACGGACAAGCTTCACTTTTACCTGAAAACACTTCATCCTGGGCCCATAATAATGGATCTGGCAATGTGGCTACAGGAAAATTCTGTTCACACATCACCTCAATCACATGAGTCTGGAGATAAAAGCGATGATAATGAAGATATCAATGAACTAGTTGTTGTAAAGCTAGATCACATGAGAAATCGAACCTGTTATCTTAAAACTCTTACAGCATGGGCAAATGATTTAGACATTTCAATAATGGTGCTCTTTGCTCATAAGTTAATACTTTTGGTTTTCGAAGGTTCATCTGATCATGTTAAAGAATTCTTAAAAAGGTTTAGATCTTCTAATATTGATGTTGATTCTTCAAGGAAACCTTGTAAGGAAAAAATGATGAAGATCCTAGTCCAGATTCGACACCCTACCAAATTAGGGTGAGTATATTAAAGACTTAAATAGAAAATGTTCATGTTGATGTGTGTGCAGTTATGAAGCAAGCAGGGGTTGGCAGAACATGAGAGAAGTGTTAGGAGAAACATGACGCATAGTGAAGTCCTTTTCAAAACTTCTCAAGTGTTCTGCTAATCCTCAAGTGCTTTGTAACTCCACACAGCAAAGCAAGCAAGTTTTTTCTTTCTTTTATAAAATATAAATTAGAGTAACCATTATTTTGGATAGGAAGAAGCAACTGAAAGTGTGCACACAACCAATCAGAGTGCAAGATTCATAGCAGTTATTTTATAAACTAAATAACATCAACAAAACACTCAAGAGATAATTGTTTTTGAAGGGTTAATTTGTCAACCTCTCCTCTGAACATTTGATCATAATTACATGCAAATTTACACCATAAAAGTAATAATTAGGATATTTAGATATTCAAATAATTTAATACTTATTATTAAATTATTATTAATATTATTATTTATTCTCACTGCATGCTGTGGATCATTGTCACAACAACGATTTAAATGGATGTCAATCAAAATGTTTCAATGACACCATCACAAAACACAAACTTTTCAAGGACATTAGGAGGTTGAGGGAAAAACTCTGTCCAGTTGGCATTGCAGTACTTTGTGTGACTTTTTTAGGGGAGATATTTTCAAGATGGCTTGGAACTATTTCATCCCTTATATGACAGTCCCACAGTTCACTGCAAATGCCAACTCAAACCTTTTGTATTCCTTGGAATGTGTAATATGTTGAATTTTATTGTCATGGACTATTAAGCCTGGTTCATAATAGAGATGGAATTGGAATCAACATATGCAGACTCAGAAGTGTACTGCTATTAACAGTGCTCATCTTTTTTCAAATCTGGGTGATAAATGTGATACTGATTCTGGGTGTTGTTGCTTCTGATTCTGATGCTAAACACAGAGTTGACCTCTAGTGGTCATTAGAGACAGTTGATTTTTTAATATGTTTGCTGAAAACCATCAGGATCCAAATTAATCGGCTAGTGTTTGCAATGTATTTAAAGAGAGTAGCTAGGATGATACAGTTTCATGGGCTGCTCACTCCTCTAGTTCTACATCTAGGCTGTTGGACATCTCAATGACAATGTATATTGAACATGTGTGATGCTGTACGTGCTGTATTGTGCTTATTTTATCCCTTGTCTTTCAGGTCTGCTGGACTGAATTGGAAAGAATCCAAGTCAAATGCAGAGCTAGAAAATAACTTTAAGGAATTCAACCTGCTTGATATTTATAGCAAATTTGTACTTCCATCTTTGTAAGAAATGCAAGTTGTGGAGAAAACTGAGGAGCTATATAGAGACTTTGTACCATCACGTGATGGCAGCTATGAGGCAGAAACAATTGAATCTGGTCTAATCTGATTTAAATTAGAGAGAATTTAGTTATCCTGGGGGATAACACTCTGTTGTTGTGCTTTTTGTCATTGCTGTCATCACTTTTAAGGTTACTGGAAATAATATTATTTTCTGAATTTCTATTATATGGGGTTTTGTTAAAAGTAGTGTGAAGAGATAGTCTTAAACGAAACATACCCCTGAAGGTCTCCAGTAACCTAAATAAATCCCACAATGCCTAGTTATTTTCCACATTTTCAAGTCAAATTTATTCTTTCGAAATATCTTTAATGAAATCAAAATAAATAAATTTGATGGAAAAAATAATAAATTTTATATCAAGCACGAAAAATAAAGCATTGTAGGATTTCTTAAAAAGGTCTTATCACCTATCTTTTATATTTTGCCATCCTCAGTTTCAGCCTCACCATTATCTTCACATTTGTCCTTTGCATCTGGCTGTAGCAATTTGTATCATGACACTAGCTACTATCTTAGTTTAACTGAGATTATGTTAACCATATATTTTTTTGTGTACCTCTGTGTCTTTTTAACTAGAGCTCAAAGACCAGCATTTTTTATTTTCTTGAATTAGTGACTGTGTAAATACTGGGAGGAAATGGGACCAGAGGTTATTTCTTATTTTCTTCCACTCCAGTATCCTAAGAGGCACCATGCATTCTAGTTGGCTGTTTCCAGAGTGTTTCTGTTACGAACAATGAAACATAACTATAAAAACTAGAACAAAAGTAAATGGGGAAAAAATTTAATTCTAAGTCAGTGGTATACTTAAATGCATATTGAAATTTTAAAAAATGTATTAACTGTGCTTCATATTGCCAAGCTTTGGGCAGTACCATCTTCAGAGCTTTAACACATTAAAAAGTTATTTCTTAGTCCTTAGGTCATTTTGGATAGAGAAAACTGTGCCCTCAGAATTTTTCCCCATCCGGGCCTCGTGACCAAATAACATCTATAGTTTTTACTACCACCACCTTTGGTGCACTTTTAAAAGCATAAGGTGATTAATACCACTTGTATAGAACCCCAATATGTAAACTGTAAGCTGCTGGTCTTCATTACAAGACAGACTGGATAATAAATTGTCTACGGGAATGGTCTAAGATTAGAATTTATTATAACAAATCTTGGGTCTCTAGCTCACATCCACATACTTGCCCTTAAAGTGCCTATCACCCTTCCGACAATATTCACAGTATTGATTCTACATGGGGTAAGATGTGGAAAAGCCCAAAAAAATTTCATAGTTTGAGTGCGGCTTCTTGAAGTTATAAAGGTTTTTCCATGTTGTGATGTATGAGGAGTAATCATTTAATATACAAAACCTTACTTGCACAGATAAATTAAATTTGAAATACGTCGTTGTTTTGCCCATTGCTCTTATAGAAATTATTGCAAGCTATTTTTCACATAGAAGCCGGTGTTTCAAATTACAAGTAACAACAAATAACCATAAATGCCTCCTCATACGTCACAACATTAGCATATGGCATGGAAAAGCCTTTATAACTTCAAGAAGCTGCACTCAAACTATGAATATTGTCAGAAGGGTGATAGGCACTTAATCTTAGGATGTCTTTCAGAATGATGCCAAATAGCATTAATGGATAAATATTAACCAAATTTTTCAAAAGTACTGATCCTTAAAAAATAAAAAGAATTTTATGAAATGCACAGTAATCTTTTACTAAGGTGAAAGCTAAGTTGGGTTAGTCAGGGGATCATATACTGTAGCTTGGATGTTTTCTATGGGATTGGGATAAGTCTTTATAATATATAATATTACAGTCTTCCAACTCCCCTGGGTTACTTTATGTACCAGGGCCTGGTGAACAAGAGAAATAAAGGCAGGTTGGTTGGTTGCCTGCTTGCCCTTACTGAGTTTTGGTTATGGAATGCATAGGGGAGAGGATAGGCCCTGGGGAAGTGGGGGGGGGGGG